GATATGCGGCTAATATGACATAATTGTTACAAATGAAATATTTGCCATGACAGATGAATGCTTTCGCGGTGAATTGAATGGCTCAAAACACTTGTAATAACCTAAACCGCTATTTAGCGGTACGTCTCAAGGTGTGCATGTGGAATTATAGAGAAATTTATATATTTGTATGTATTTATGTATTTGTATTCGTAATGTCGAAAGCAAAATGCGTAAAATTTGGCTCAAGGTTATTGGCAAAAGCCAACAAGAATGACGATTGTGTTGGGGTACCGAAAAATATACCAGTGTATTTAATCGACAGGATACGTATGACGCTAGCTTTGTCACGCACAGCAGCATTTGCCGAAAATTAATTCGGGATGTTGACAAATTACATAAGTAAAATGAAGAGTGTAGCGAAAGGCAACCTTTTTACCATGAATATATTAGACTTTGCTCCGAAAAAACTAAATAATTTTATATTAGTAATATTTTGTGAATATTCATAACATTTAAAAGACACATAATACATTTGTTAAGGCGAAGATGTGGCTTTAATTGAAACATTCCGCTAATCCTGTTCAATTCAGGTTGCCTCTCTGGGAGTTTCGCTACGAAGGCTTTTTTAACCATTTTTACCATTACATAGGTAAGCAAGAAATAAATACAAATTGGGAATTATTGTGCGCCTTTTGTTAATCCTTTTTGGTAGCTAATTTCGATTCTTCCATTATTATCCCAATGAAAATTTCGCATAAAATCTCACTAAAAGCGATTGTAATATGATTGATTTCCAGTATCCTGGAACTGCTATTCATACAGTTGAGTAATCTCAGGCGCCTAACAGAATTTCTGCTCGCCGCCTTAGGGTACGATTGTTGCCTTTTTTGTCGATTGAAAAATCACAAATTGTCCAAACAATTTAATGTTTGTTAACTTTTATGTTTTAACTTTAACTTGTTGGTAAACAAAAAAATTATTCTATTAACATATTGAATATGAAACTTAGCTAAACCCGTAAACTGCTCCTAAATGTAGGCAACAAAATGTGTACTCAAAATAAAAAACGTTTAAGTTCATTTATAACTCAGCTATCATTATATAAATCCATAACTTCTTCCAAAACAACTATCAATTATATTGCACCACAAGCTAGTTAATTTCTTTTAAGGCTATTGCTCATATATATATATATTTTTTTTTTTACCATAATCTCTACTCAACCCGCTACGTTGCAAGTAGCAAAAATATTCTAAAGCTTCAGTGTTTCGCGATACATAAATGTAGTTATATAATAAGCTGGGAGTGAGCGTAAGTGTGTTCAAAATCAAGATAAACGTTTCAATGCCACTTCAACCCCAAACCTCAATCATCGCCCTTCAAATTATATTTTCTTGATTTCTCACTTTTATTTGTACTTTGGTTAGATGGCTGAAAACGTACAAGCCCCTTTTGTGGTTGCCACTTTGGAAATTATTTCCGCAAAATTAATGTCGTTCAATAGCCTTCACCCGAACTTCAATGCAAAGCAATCAAATTCGTTTTGTCGACTGCTAAACGAGGCATACAAACACTCATTGCCAGAGAGAGCACTCAGCATAGAAAGCATTCGAAATTCTATTACTTTTGCGGCAATTATACGTCATCAATGGCGAAACAGTGCGGCTCAAGTTGCCATTGCGCCAAGATGTCGTGGCTCCGGCCGCCATTTATCTTGCACCAATTAAAAACTTTTCAAATTTCAATTAAATTTCACATAAACCAACACACAGACGCAAGCAGAGTGCAAATGACATCTATTAGACGCGCTTTCCTACACATACTCTCTCTCTCTCTCTCACCCTATCATTTAAAGTGCAATAGCTTGGCAGCTTCAAATAACATCTTGGATTTCGTCAATAAGTTTATGAGCGCATGTTTTTCAGTGCGTCTACTACATATCCATTAGCTGTCAGTATGACAATTCGCTTTATTTCGTTAGAGAATTTAAGCCCCCGCCACCCCGCTAGTCAGTTATCGCATCGATTTTTAGCGTAAGCAAAGTTCAACACGCGACCCACTGGCAATTACTCAAACACTGACGAAAAGAGATAGAGAGGGCGAGACGGAGGCCACAAAAGAGAGAGTGAGAGAGAAAATATTATATGAAATCATAAAAGATAAATAGAAGGAAGTAAACGACAAATTACACCAAAACTATTTAGCAATTTAAACAAAACTCTCCAACAAAGGCAATCGCATGCAAAACTGTCAAACTGGTCGATGTAAGCGACGTTGCCAATAACAGTATTTTCAAAAAAACAATAGGAAATTAAAGTAGTCTCACAGCCTTAAAGCTTTTCTTCCGTTGATTAAAAGTCAAATAAACATAAACAAACGCGTTGAACCACTGTGAGCTCCTTACGTCGGCTGTTGTTATTTAACCCTACAGCTATTACGCCGCTGACGTCAGCGCTGTTAATCAAAACTTGAAGCTGTCAGCTGAAAACAACAACAAATGTCAGTTTTGTCCTTTAGCTGACACATTTCAATACTTTTAATTCGACAAGCAGCGCGGTACGAAGGCCAAACAAAGCTTTCGGCTTGTGGAAGTGAGTCCACTTGGGTTAAAATAATTAATGAATTTCGATTAAAATGAATCGAAGTCATGTAAAATATGCGAAAGAAAGAGTAAGTGACTTAAATGTGAGTGAAGACAAGCTTTATTTATCAAATATGATGATATGGCAATGTAAGAGGAGATATATTATACAGAATAGTTATGTAACGCGTAATTTATGGGAAACGCGAAAGCTTTTGAGTTAAATTAAACGTGGTCTTTCATTAAACGGAGTTTCTTTCGCAGCCGAAAGAAAGGCTAGAAAAACAATAGTATGGAAATAGTTGTCAAATCTTCCACAGCAAATTAGATGGCTGGATTATCCGTGGTCGGATGAAAATGGAGCCGATTACGCAAACGGAAAGTCCGGCTTGTGTACACATTTGGAATGGATGCAAAGTATTTCTGCTGTATTTGTGGTATAAAATAAAACTACAGCCACGAAAGAAGAAACAAACCTCTATTGCATTGGAAAAGCCAGGTAGAAAAGACCTGGGTTCAAACTGACCCGCTTTGTTTAATTAAAGGTATAAAAAAGTTATTTAAGACGGAAAGTTAAGTGGTTGTTCTTTTAAGAGAATACATTTATTTTATTTTTCGCGGAAACCAGCAGTCGTTTCATACAGTTCTAAACAAACAGTCAATTTCAAATTGCCGACAGCGGAGTTTACAAATACAAATATAATCCACTTTTTTGAAAAGGCACCGCTTATGCTATAATACTCGCCATTTGTTTTGAGGCAACACGAAATATTAACCAACAGTGCACAGTGCTGGTTCCACTACCCCCACATACACACATTTCAAGCCGCTAAAGCCTTTAATTTTTCAAGGACACTTGTGTGCGCCATAAAATCTGTTGTTGAAATTACGCGCAAAACTTTACCAAACCCTGACGCCTAGGCATTGCCAGGCTTAACTAGTAAGGGTGGCTGGATTGGTAGCCGCGTTGTGGGGCAGCGCGCGTTTGTTGTTGTCTTTGGTTGTGCGCACATTTCATTGCTACCTGAGACACGTTCAAAGGCATTCTTTCGTTGCGACCTGCACATTGTCCTCACCCTTTGTATCGTTACCCACTCAAGCATACTAAATAGTTAGTTGCTGCTATCTATGGAGCTGCAACATTTGGCAACCTCGAAGACTTTTTGACTTTCCCGCTTGTTTGCTTATTTACTTGTTTGCTTTTCGGGGAAAATATTGCCTGAGCCAAGGTAAAGAGTTACTAAACTCAACAATTACACACTCGTGCGCAGCAGTCGAGAGTTTTTAAGCACATATTTGTACAAGCATATATCTATGCATGTGTGTGTGTGTGTGTGCATGAGCTTTTCACGGCAGCTGGATGTGTCGACAGGCGACGTGTTAAGGCGTATGCCGGTGTGGATTTACATAAAAGTTTCGGTGGGAGCTAAGAGAGCTCGAAATGTGCAAACACTTACCTAAGCAGCAGCAGCTGAGGAAGCGTCGGATCTGATTATAGTGTCGCATGCATGCAGGCGCGTAACTACCACGCCCGCGCAAATAATATTGCAACACTTCATCACCAAAATTTTACACACTTTTCAACACTAATTGTGTACGTACGTGGCGGAGGTTTAAACTTTAAGGAGTGTCAGAGAACGAGGTTGAAGATCGAGTCTGATTTTGCATATATAAAGGTTTACTAACCAAATTTGTTGTCTTAAAGTAATACAGATCGATGGAGCTTCAGTAAATCCGAAAATCTACTCGACATTAGTCTATCAGACTAATTAACGGGATACGCAACTATATCTTTATATAGTACAATACACTAGTAGTCCGAAGTCGCACATCTAGTTATGAGTCTAGTTTATGAGTCTATCAGCCTTACTTCCGAAGAGACCTTCTAAATATAAGCTACAGGAAAATATCCTAATTTTTATGCAACAAAAACTTTAACACGACAGTTTTCGAAATATTATTTTGTAAAGCTTTTCATGTTGTTACAAGAATAAAAATTAAAGCTTTAACTATAACTTCACCGACATATCGAGGATGAGAACCCGCCGGATAAGTGCTCTTATAAATTACTTACTCGAATCAGCAGGAATAGAAGAAAGTATCTTAGAGGTTTCGAATTTCGTTGCGAAAAATTAAGCTTTAATCTGCGATTTGCTTCTGTAAAAAACCTTCATACATGTAGAAGTTAATTTCATCCCAATAACTCATAAAGGTTAAACATAAATCACCATGAGTTTCAATAAAACCTCATATGGAAACGAAATAATTCCCTACCGACATACCCACACAGGCATAAAACAGCAATATGTTACTGTAAAAATGCTGGTGCCTAAATCGCTGTGGTGGCACATATGTGCGCATCTACTTTAAAAGTTCTTGTGCGCTTATCCCCCGAATGCACCGTTCGGCCATGTCGCCACCGTCATTAACTACTTACCCGCGAGCGCAGCTGTGCCAAAACTTCGGCAATGTCGCCATGTTGACATGCATACATAAGACTTGTGCAGCCGCGCGCCAAGCGGATTTGCGCGCCGCCTTCATCAACGCCCTCGCCAACCTTGATGTCGCATACATCTGTCGCCGTTGTTGTTGCTGTCAGTGTTTTCGGTGCAGCAGCTGTCGTTTGGCGAGCTGTCAACGCGTAGACATTTTTTATAGCCGACGGTGTCGATGTCGAAGTCGATCTCGCCGGAAATATAGGCGTTGCAGTGGAAGCTGTCGCACTAGCACTAACCGTTGGCGTTGTTGTTCTTACTTTCTTTATGTTGCTGGTGTGCTTTTTGGCATGCATGCCGGTATGCCTGTAGTCTTCTTGAATAGTTTCGCTGGCAATACCATGTGTTGATCGCGTCGACACTGCAGATTCTGAACAGTACGGTGCAGTAGTTGACGCTGTCATTAATAACGGACTTTGGAATTGTAGACGCTTCTTAAGTTTACCGTTACCCGGCTTGTCCATACTCAACACCGCACCCTTGTGTTCTGCGCTTGCGTTACTCAACACGCGCCTGTCAGCGTTGCTGGCTTTCAACCGCGGCGGCTTTTTGGGCGCATCACCTGAAACCGATTCCATGTGTTGTTGTGCTTGCGAGCGCTCCATTATCATTGCTCGCTTCTGATGCTCCTATTCTGTTTTGTTTGCCACGCGCGCGTGTTTTGCGACGTTTCTTGAATTTGTATTTTCGCTTATTATTCACTTGGTGTATTTGACGCGCTTCGCGTTGTGTGCGCGTCTCAGTCATTTTCGCTCAATTGGCCACATTTTTGCAGAAAAATACTCGAAAATTATTAACTTCGATGTTTGTTTTTACACTGCACTAGTTCGCGTTGCTTGACGATTGTAAAAAGTTAAAAAAATGAAAATTGAGGTTAAGGCCCATTGTGTTCTCTACTTAATCACAATGGAGCGGAGGCTTTCATTTACACAGCTGTCTTTACAAGCATTATTTTCAATGTGTGCACTCTTACGTAAACACACACTAATACATTTTTTCACACATATAGCCTGTGCTTATGCTGCGCGAAATCCCTTAAAAGCGCTTACTCCACTTCACTGAACTCGATTGAATCGCATTACAATCAGCTTAAAGTCTTGTCTTACTATTCATCGCGCCAACGTCGCGCTCAGCAGCGTGCGCTCGACTTACTTTTCGTAGATGCCGTAGCACGTAAGTACATGCCAAGCATGCTTCTAAATAATTAAGAATGCACATACACAAGTTCGCACACACACACACACAAATATACATACTCGCACTGCCTTTTCGAAGGAGACTTATGTGAACAGTGTGAAAATTGGTGACACCCACTCATGGCGTCACTTTTCATGAGCGGTGCTAGCGAAATCTCCATGCAGGCAAATCTAGCCAAAAAATACAACAGCGAAAATTACAAAAACAACTAACTCTTGCCAGCGTTGTCACCTTGTGTCGCGCACAGTCTGCCGCGCTAGTGTTCTCCGCGCTACTGATCAATTCACGCCCGCGATTTCACACGTCTCATCGCATGTGTCACGTGTGTGTTTGTAGTATATATATTATATATATATTTGTGTGTGGGTGTATGCACGCATGTGTGGCATAGTTAATCGCGCGGAAAATAGTTTTCACTATAATTCGAGCGCAGCAAAGCAGAAACCGAAATCCATTTAAATAGATTCCGTTGTAACGAACTTCACCCACACACACACACATGCATTGACTTGGACGTACGTCGGTATTTTTGGCCAACATTTCAGTTTTCTTGAATATTTTTGATATTTTCTTACATAAAGTAACCTGCTGCGAAAATTGTATGTGTGTGTTTGTTGATAGTTTAAAATTTTCGATAAAATAATATCTATCGATTTTCATATACTTCACCAAAGCAGCCTTCACGAAGTTGAGTTCCAATTTGAAGTTGCAGTTTGAAAGCCACAGCTTCAAACGAAATCATATTTTTCTTAGGAAATTACTTACAATACATAATTTACGTTAGCATATCTTTAGTCGTCCATTCCTTTTCTCTTTTTATACTCTCGCAACCTGTTGCTACAGAGTATAATAGTTTTGTTCACCTAACGGTTGTTTGTATCACCTTAAACTAATCGAGTTAGATATAGGGTTATATATATATAAATGATCAGGATGAAGAGACGAGTTGAAATCCGGGTGACTGTCTGTCCGTCCGTCCGTCCGTCTGTCCGTCCGTCTGTCCGTCCGTGCAAGCTCTAACTTGAGTAAAAATTGAAATATCTTTATGAAACTTGGTAGACATGTTTCTTGGTACCGTGAGACGGTTGGTATTGCAGATGGGCGTAATCGGACCACTGCCACGACCACAAAACGCCATTAATCAAAAACAAATAACTTGCTATAACTAAGCTCCGCAATAAGATACAAGACTGTTATTTGGTACACGGGATCAAATTAGGGAGGGACATCTGCAGTTAAAACTTTTGCTAATGCTATAATAACAAAATTCACTGGAAGCAAATGATTTTAGCACTTCTATTGACGGTGTGAAAATAGTTGAAATCGGGTGGCAACTCCGCCCACTCCCCATATAACGGTACTGTTAAAAACTACTAAAAGCGCGATAAATCAAGCACTAAACACGCCAGAGACATTAAATTTTATCTCTGAGATGGTATAAATTGGCTTTATAGGAACCGCGTTCAAAATTAGACAGTGGGTGTGGCACAGCCCACTTTTAGGTGAAAACCCATATCTTGAGATCTGCTTAACCGATTTCAACCAAATTCGGTGCATAAAGTTATTTTCATGTTTCTATGTCATAGTGAGAAAATGGGCGAAATCGGACTACAACCACGCTTACTTCCCATGTAACACCATTTTCAATTCCATCTGATTCTTTCACTTTCCACTATGCAAATCAGGTAATAATGATTATATCGGGGTAAAACTTTGCGTGAATAATGCAATTAAGGTATGCCACCTTGCGGCCAAAAATTGTCTAAATCGAACCAAAACTGTTCAAACCCCTAAGTATTAAATATGTGGACCCCAGTGCCTATAGTTGACCTTCTACCGAAAATATCAGTCAATCCACAAAAAAATCTCAAACGAGTATACCATTTGACTTTGCGAGAGTATAAAATGTTCGGTTACATCCGAACTTAGCCCTTCCTTACTTGTTCGAAAATATCTTTAACTGCTGCGCGTCTAGGTCTGTGGCCAGAGAGTTGAGAAAATATTTGTTTTTAATTAGTCAATTCCGAACTGTATAATAATGTATAATTAAGAATCCCTCTTTCTTCTTAATATTATATTACTGATAATTAAAAGCTCATAAAATTATAGGATATAGTCGAACGAAGTATTTAGCTTAAGTAAATTTACAACAAAAAAGTACGCTAGTGCCAGTTGTAGACAACTTTATGATAAAAGCCACCAGAGAGATGGAATTCATATATTTACCGGTGTACCGGTTTGCAGTGAGCGTTAAAATACAAATGTGTTTTGATTTTTCCGATGGCATGCCATCTGTCAAACATATTCAATAACCTTAAAGTCATTGAACAAATAACATTATAGAGTCGCATCGAATGCTGCTCGAGGCATATGGTGATCATGCTCTATCAGAAGTAACATACAAAAGTAAGTTTCAACAGTTGAGAGATAATGTCTTTGTTGTGAGAAATGTAGAACGTGGAAGACGACAAAAAAAGTTTGAAAACGCCGAACTGCAAGCAATATTGGATGGAAATGATACTTTGAGTCAAAAGCAAATGGCAGCCATGAAATGGTTTATTATTTCAGACCGTTTGAAAACTATGGGAAAAATCCAAAAGTGTGGAAAATGGGTGCCACATGAATTGAATGAAAGGTAAATGGAAATCTGAAATAACAGTTGTGAAATTTTGCTTCAAAAATACAAAAGTAAATCAGTTCTGCATCGAATTGTTACTGGCGAGGAAAACTTAATTTATTTTAAGAATCCTTAACGTAAAAAATCATGGGTTAATCTTGGACAACCATCAACATCGACTGCAAAAACAGATCGATTCGGTAAGAAGGCATTGCAGTTAGCTTACAGGAGTTTTTAGATCCATCTTTAAGTTTAAAGAAGGTATGTATATATATATAAAGATTTCGTTTCAACAAAATATAAAGACCAGATTTAAACAAATCCTCTAAAAACAAATAATTTTAGGCATGGAATTAGTCTATTGGCAGACATTTTTTTACCAGAAAAATTTTACATATATATATTTGTGCTTAACAATTAACCACTAATAATTGGTATTAAAATACAATACATATAATATATTTACAATAATTTAAATTAATAATAATATTTAATTTATTGTCTTTTTTGTAAAAATGTTTATGAATAAATTCCATTTATTGGTCGTGATGAATATTTTAAATTTATGTAAACAACACTAAGAGCACTCGGATGACAAAACGTTTTGAGTATGTATAACATCAAAAATATCAAACTTTGCGATGAAAATGTAAGTTACCAGATTGCAATAATAGATTTGACAAATTCCGAAATATAAAAAGCAACCTACGTACAATGTTTTTAGCTCTATGATTGGAGTATGTGGGTCTTATGCTAAAATTCAGGAGCCGAAAACAAAACTGAGAAAAAAATCTCAACTTTTAAGCAGCAGCTAAAGTCAGAGCCAAAGTGTTTCTTATAATCCAAAAAAAAGTGTACCTATGTGAATATTGGTATGTACGAGTATGGACACATTTTCACTGCAACTCAAAAACTAAAATATTTATGTATAATTTTGTTTTTGCTGACAGCTAAGCTTCTTTTCCCGCCATTTCGTTGAAAATCGCTATTCCGAAAACTTTCAACGCAGAGCTAAATGCTCGAAAGCGCATAAAAACTTGTGCTTGCCGCTCAAAAAGAAGATGAATAAGAGCACTGAATAAATTGCGCGTAAAGTTGAGGTAAAATTGATAATGATATTTATGCTAAACGCACAGTGACGCTTTTTGTATATACCGTTATACTTCGTTTTTTTTTAATGCAAATATAAATTTACTAGAAATGTCCTTGAGCGAAATATATTTAACAGCCATGCTTCGGTGATGAATCGAGCTGTGAAATGTTGTAAGGACGCAAGGAATAAGGATAAGCAGAAAGAGCGGCATCCTTATTGTGAAGACGTGATCAATTTCTCACGAACACTGAGAGCAATACAGAATTGTAAGGGGAACTTATACATTTAAATATATTTATTTATAATGGAAATATTTTTTTTTTTATGCTGTTATAAAGAAATTGAAATTGAAGAGTTGCGCTTTAGATTTTCTAAGCAAAAAATAAATAAGAACTCAAAAATATTTGCTTCAAGGTTCTCTTCAAATCCCCAAAGTATACGTGTATTCAAATATTAATGCAGCTCCTGAAAGTGCGCTACACACAACTACGTTTTTATATTCCCTCAAATACCGATATACGTAAGGAGTGAAAGTACTTTGGCACTCTCGCGTACACATCAATCAAAAAAGTGAGCGTTATTGGAAATTCGCACACTGTACCTAATCCCCAATAATGAATTTGTAAACGCGTTGAGAAATGTATGAGATGAAATGTGAATTGCGTAGCAAATAAAATAATTCAAGGTAAACATAGAGT